AATAATAATAATAATAATAATAATAATAATAATAATAATAATAATAATAATAATAATAATAATAATAATAATAATAATAATAATAATAATAATAATAATAATAACAGAATAATATCTAAAAATCAAAAAAGAGAAAGGAAAAATAAAAAGATAAAAAGAGGAAGAATTCATTTTATCAAAAAAAAAAGAAATATCCCAATTTGGATAAATGCTATAAATTTTTTTTTTCAAGAAACTTTAACTTTTTTTTTTGCTGCGAATATTGATTAAGTCTTATTTGATAACAATGATTAATTTCATTTTAATATTGCACGCATATTTTAACATAAATGATAAAGTGATATGATCACGAATAAATTCATCAGGTAAATTGGATGAAAGAATTCATTTGAATAAATCGGCTTTTAGTTTTTCGTTTCTTTTAAACACTTAAAGAAAATTACTTTGGTTTAATTATGCCATGTCACAAACCCATAAAATCAGCAATTAAGTTAATGACTTATTGATTGACAGAGAAAATCTGATGCTAAAATGAAATTAAAAAGAAAACCTTTTGACCTTTGAATTTGATAGATGAAATAAAAATTAAATTTACTGAAATTAATAAAACTTTTGATCTGTAAATTTGATTGATTTATTTTAACACCGAAAAAGTAAACAAGTGCTTGATAAAGTTTTGTTTCATATAATTTGAAAGAATTTTTGGGTTAAATTTGAATTAGTTTTATGAGCTGAAAACCTATTTCTACAATTAATTAAATTTTAATTTCTTCTCTAAATTTTTTCAGACTTAATTCTGATTTTTTTAAAAATTAAATCTTAATCAAATTTCAATATTTGGAAATATACGAAAATTGGGACAGAAAGTGTTTGTTGATTGATAATATTCAAATTTCATATTTTTGAAAGAAGTCAAATGGCACAATTATTAAAATAAAATATTAGAAAATTAAAATGATGCACGCAAAAAGATAATGATATTCATTCCTTCAGCAAGAATTAGAATTCATTTTCATTTTTGATTTGTACCTTTTAATGTTAATGCAGCAATTTTGCTTTTATAAACAATTATTTCCAATCTTTTCAGCGTCCGAATTAATTTCTTCCTTATACTTTTCTTGTTTTATCATTTCAAATATCATTTCCGCTTTCTTACCACATTATTCACCAGTTTGACAATTCGATTACATCTTAATTATTTCATTTAATAAAAGATGTTCGTCACTAGACTGTTAATAATAATAATAATAATAATAATAATAATAATAATAATAATAATAATAATAATAATAATAATAATAATAATAATAATAAT